GTCAAAAACCGACCGACCGAGTGTTGCAGCAAATAATGAGACATGTGAAAAGAAGACAAAAAAGAAAAACACAATACGAAGGACAGAATTTGTACAAAACCGAAGACCTGTGCAAATGACGATTCTAATATAAGGTGTATACAGTTTCCCTCAGTTGAGATATTACATCCCAAATAAACCTACTGTTACTAAGTCTTTTGTCTTCTGCCGTTACACCTCTAACCTATCTCAGTCTGTTGTGTGATTACATGCAAGGGAATGGATCGCAATGGTCGAACTTTCCCCTAGATTATTTAACTTCCAAGGGTCAGTCATTCTACACATTTCTAAATATCTATGTTCGCATAATCTAACTGACCTGGATCTAGTAGTCTGACCAATGTAACTGACCTTTCAGCCATTATATGATATTTGATCAATTTTATTATCTTTCCTAGTTGGATCTCTCTCTCTGAATGGAGACTTTAGAAGCTCTCTAGTACTGCTATATGAGGAATTAACAACAGGGGCACTACATAGGATTATTAGTAAGGTTGAAATTAGGGTGGCATTTTAACCAACCTACTCATTCAGAGACAGACTTTGAAGCCTTAAGAACCTGATACATTCAAATGAGAAAAGTAATATAATTTAATAAATACCATGTAATGACTGTGAGATCAATTACACAGGGGAAACTAACAGATGGGGGTTGTTGGAATATTGCAATCTTGACTGATAGAATAGAGTTTGCAGTAAACAACGGACAAGACACATGACACTACTTGGTGTCCAATCAAAATATAGAAATCTAGCTTAAATGAAAAAAGTTGACCCTGTTAAGTTAAGTAATCTAAAGGAGTGCTCGATCACTGCAATCCATTTTTACTTGAACGTATTCACACAATGATATGTGATAAGAAGAAAGCATTGAAAAGTAATATAGTAAAGCGGTGAGAGGGGTTAACTTCGAGTGTTGGTTTGTAGGAATGTAGATGTTTACAGGTTTTGATCACTGGCTAACATCTCAGTTAGAGAGCTATCAGAAAATCTGGAAGTAGTGAACAGCTGTTTCATCGCAGTTTGGGATTGTTCATCAGTACGCACCCAGTGGAGTTTGAGCCTAGGGCCTTCCGGTTATAAGGTAAGCTTGTACATCATTCAGCCACTGGGACTGGATCTAATAATGACTGAATCTTCTTCTATAGTATCAACAGGAAACACGTGCAATCGAAATGACACAACACTTATCAAAGAACACACCAGCATCAAAAACAACTACCTAGGTGATAGATACCTTTTGTTAATCACTATGTATAGTTAAACATGTTAACTTAAAACATCTTCTAAACACAAAAAGGTGCAGATGGAATAAAAGATAATTAAGTGAAGCGGTCAGTGGCAGTTGCCATTAGAGATAGTATTCTAGAATCGAAGTACTTTATGTTATTTTCATTTTAACAAGTGGCATAAATATGTTCGATTTATTTATGAGTGATTCATCAGGATGATCTTGTAGGTGAGACCTATAATATAGGATGCCATATACTACTGAGACAAATTTCTGTGAGTAGTCTGACACCACTTACGCCAATGAGTAGTAATCACCAACCAGCTAGATCGAGGTGGTCTGTATACACTGCACGGACATTTATCTGTTTAAGTGCTAAGCTTATCAGGGGCGTACCCGAATCAGAGGGTCTACTCAATTCAAAGTATTCGAGTTCTGGCTTACTACCTACCTACAAGTGAAGAGATAATACATCAGATCAAACCGACAATTCGTAAATTAATCGACGATTCGGTCGGTCGGTTTTCGACATAGAACTTTGCACATATGTGCGGCAGTTCAAGTCGCCACACTCCCTCCTTGTAGCACACAAAGCAAGAGAAGAAAGTAGAAGAAATGCATAATATAGACAGTAAACAGAGGTGTGAGACAAAGGAATAGTAATAACGGAGAACAAAACAGTTTAATTGGAAATCATGAGTCACAAGGAGTGGATGCATCTGCAGTAGCCATTGAGAACGATTTTGAGCCATGTCACCAATTGTTTCCAACCATTGGTTTTTACCGTCCCGAGGACCCCAACCAGTCAGGAAGTCTACACCTTCCTAAGTGGCTTAGACTAACTGTTGTGGATTTCATTGACTGGTGCCATGTTTTCGTTTGACCGCCGCTAGCTCTTTTCCAGCCTGGCCCTATATCAGGTGACATTGCCCATTGTCGAGGAAGGCGATGACTAGGCATGCATGCGTAACACATGTCCTAACCATTTCAGTCGATGTAATTTCACAGTCTCGTCAATTGATTTCCTCGCCTTACCTAACACTCGACCGATGCCTAACCTCAATATCGCTCACCTTATTATACCACTTCACGCGAGATAGATAGACACCTTTGATCGGAAACAGCTAATCTTCTCATGTCTTCTGCTCTCAATGGCGAGATGTCACAGCCATAAAGGAGGACGGAGCGGACTGTTGAGCAGTACACACGCCCTTTGGTCGATAGTCGGATATCGCGTCTACGCCAGAGACGACGATTAGCATCAAAACACTCCGGTCTGGCTGGCTGGTGAGCACTACTGGTTAATGTGAGTGGTGTCAAACTACTCATATCAATCGATCAGTAGTATGCAACATCATGGAATTATCCTTGGTATCTGTATAACCATTCCCTAAGTTACTCTTGTAGATGAACACACCATAGGCTATTCAATAAAGGAACTGTTCGAGGATAATTTAGCTGAAACTGTATGATTGGCCAGTGCTGCTCAAAAATATTGCGATTTCTAGGCTTTCTAAGAATCATTCTGCTAAAGAAGAGGCTTTATTTGGGGAAGAAAATTCATTCTTCTAGGTAATGTAGTGTCTCCAATGGATGTCTATATGTAGTGGAATTACCTTCAAGTTCAAAAATCACTATCTGATTCTCCGTTTATTTGTTTTTCAGTATGAAACTGTCACTGTTCAGTTGAAATAGATCAAAGACTCCGGCTTGCAGCAGCTGACAGCCTATTGCTTAAATGAACGAGTAAAGATTATAGAATAAGGCGTCTTGACTGGATTCTACCTTAGGCAATGATTTCAAAATCGATCACGAACTAAATTCAGTTAGGGAACTACTGAAGATCAAGAACTACTAGGCAGCTGTTCCTCGCTAACTTTTGGAACTCTTTGGCAATATGCTTTCTTGACTCTACCAGGGATCGAATCCGGGACCCTCAGATTCCGAGGCAACCTCGAAGACCATTGAGCCACTGGGATTGAGTCCGGTGTCCCTTAAATTCTAACTCCTGCCAATCCGTGGTACAGATAGAGCGACTATCAGTCAATGTCATCGGTGAGTATTTCTACTCATCCCCTTCTTGGTGGACCCTGTTGTTCACGACCTCCTCCTGGAACTACAGGTAACTCCATCCAGTTTTAGTCAGTCAGTAGTAAGCACTAGATTAGTTTACAAGTTTTGGTTTTCATTCATGTAGTAGTCATTTATTTTCATAGACCATTACAAAGGTCTTTCAAAGGTGAACAGTCACACATAGGAGAGAGAACTCACCATCTTTGGAAAAGTTGCATCTTACACACACAAAACCAAATACAAGAATAAAGATTACTTGAAATAAAAATCTCAGAATAAAGAAGCATAGAGAGAATGAAAATTTGATCACTTGGCCACAGTAACAACGACAACGAACAGTGAGTAGTGTCTGATTCATTCATTGTGACAGATTTTCATTCATCTTATTCATAATGTCTGCTTGTGGTGAGAGCTGTCTACTAGCCAAATTTGTAGACAGTAATTTACGTCAATATTTACGTTCCCAAGATTTGTTGTGAGAAAATGTGAACAAAGATTGATTCAAAACCGACCACAGCAGACTTTGCGTAGGCGGATGCAGTTAACATATAGAGGATTTGACATTCAAGAAACAGTCACAAATCAATGAAAGATTAACTTTACGTGAGAAACAACCAATCGGAAGACTGTGTTTGTTTGTTTACGTATCCATAGTAATGTACATGAAAATATATAAATATGCGTTGATTTCCTTAATAAATGATCTGTTGCCTGACTCTTGCCTTCTGTCGTTACACGCTTACTGAATCCTGATAATAGCAGACACAAGTATTTAAACAGACAATATTGAATTTCTTTCAACCTGGACTTCGCAAAGAATGAACATCAGTCAGAGAAATATTGAAAACCAGCTATTCCATCCTAGTATCAAACTCTTGGGTAGTATGCACTCACAGCCTTGGCAAGAAAGAAAGAACTCAACACTTTCTCGTTGCAAGGCTAGCTCAGTGACTATTCGGACACATGAGTTCAAACCTGAGAAGATTCGCAATAAAGTGCTACTAGAAATTAATGTCAAAGGTAATTATCTGTCCTTACACGTGACGGATATTTCCAGCAGGTTGCAGACCTTTATCAACAACTGTCTTCGCTCTATACTGAAGATCAGATGGCCGGAAAGAATCACAAACAAGAAACTATGGGAACAAACAAAACAAGAACCAATCGCTTAACAAATATGCAGGAGAAAGTGGAGATGGATTGGACACTCGCTGAGGAGGCCGCTGGGTGACATCGCGCGTCAGGCCGTCGAGTGGAACCCGAAATGGAAGTGGCGAGTAGGACGTACAAGGGTGATATGGAGGAGATCGTGTGAAGAGGAGTTGAAACAGTATGGACTAACATGGATGCAGGTGAAAAGTACAGCAGAAGACAGAAGCAAGTGGAGACGTGCAGTTGAAGCCCTATGTTCCACTAGGAACCCAAGGGAACAATAATAATAATACACGTGACGGGGTGAATCCCGTCTTACTAGAACTGCAGAATATTGACCACGTAGTTAGTCAATTAGTCACCAATAAAACTTTTTAATTCTTATAATATAACACTTAAAACATAACATGTTATCATCTTTGTAGGAACTTAGTAATAGTAGTAAAAATAATAATAATAATAATGATAAAAGATTTAGAAAAGCCTTTGTAGCTCAGAAACCCACCTAGTTCACCTTGACGAACATCAAATCTTGTTGCACCACCAGTAATAAACTCAGGATTTGAACATATTTCCTGGGAGAAAAAAACAAAACATAGAAAAACAGTATATACTAAACTGTATGACACAATTATACAAGCTGAAATTCGATGTACTAATTCACTATCTATTTGTGTTATGAAAGAATCACTCAGACTACTTGGCTAATGAAACCTGACATAGTCAAACGAAACTCAAGCATGTGGCTGACTAATTGACACTACTTTGATTTGACACCAGGCAGTAAGTAATGCAGTGCTTCAAGTTCTCGGTGTTGGTGCAGACTGTATTCTATCAGCCAGGTTTGCAATGTGGCCACCATTCCAGGTGACTCGCCAACATAGTACACTCTGAAGTGTTGACATTAGATGGTTGTAGGCAATCAGAAGGAAGCCTTGCCTGACCTGGCTTTCGTGATAGTTGGCACTCACTAGTCAACAAGGCGTATCTGTAATCTTGAAGGGAATCGTGTCCGTTCTGAGATTCTAACCCATGTCACTCAGTGCCACCTGTCGTCAGGGACGTTACCGTTGAACTATTCTGGCTAATGACTGATCTTTTTTAGGACCGTAATGGATAGTTCGATTGGACACTAATAAACAACTAAAATTCTCTGAAGAATAATAATGATATTTGTTAGTGCATGGTGGCTAACGACAGAGTCCAGGATGTGCATTTCGTCCTAGTTAGGACTCGTCAGTCGGATGCGCATACTAGATTCCACTGCTGACCACTGTCAGTCAAATAACATCATGTCGACCTTCAGATATTGTCGAAGAGTTTGTACCAGCAGCTGAAGTGGTAACAGACGTTGGACTTTTCCATCCAACATCAATCAAGCAGCGGGAAATATAAAATAAACTTAACTAGTGTGGAAATGCAAAAATAACTTGAACAAATCATACTTTCTCATTATATCCTGTGACAGTCTTCGTAGTTTGTAACAGTGCAAAATATAATTGATTATTTGTTATTGTCTTACACAGAAAGCAATCACACCCTATCTAACTTGCAACATTGCATAAAATAGGTAGGTAGGACTTTCTCAATCAGATTGCTAACGTGTTTATTTAAAATGCTTAACATCTTCTTATATGCAAGTCTCGATTCCTACTCACGAAGCTTCTGTTATCAACGTTGACTTCATTTTGACCTATTAATAGAACTGCTGCAAACTTCAAACAGTCTTCCACTCGAATTTCATTAATTATCACGAAATTACCCTAAATGTTCTCAAATCATACCCAAAACACCCTTAGAATCACTTCAAAACTGTCAACTGTGGTTAGGAAACTTTAGAGGATTTATGAGAAAAGTCGAAAAGCCAAGAGCGGACTACTTCTCTTTGAAATACTGGTTCGCGCCACCCACTGAATTTAACTGACGCAACAACTTTTGGAACCGACTTCTAAAAGTAGTGGTATCTGCATCTCTAAGTGACTTGTTCAAGAATGTATAAGACAAGCGCAAGTACTTATTAGGAAGGGGTCAATACACGGTTAAATGTCTTCTATCCTCAAACCAAAAACTGAATATTATCTGTGCAATGCGGAGAGAGTATCGGATGCCGTATTTCCCTATATGCTGAGGATTTCAAACTTCTTCAGAAATATACTTTTGGGTTCTGAGTAGAATATAAGGCTTCAGCAACACATTTCTATTTACTCCTTTCCTCTTTATCTAACCCCACGATCGCTTATACTCTCTCATCTCCTCCAGGTCACTCCCAGACGCCCAACTCATCGTTTCCCATTCAGGTCCCACTAAAGGACCTGCCTTCAGCGCGATATTATCCAACGGTCTCCTCATGTAGCGCATGTTACTCCCAAGATCTCCAAGTAATTTATAAATAAATATAAATATGTATATCAATGGCAAAAATATAGAATAGCGGAGAGATGGATTTAATGGCGAAGAGAGGAAATAACCAATGCGTGCGAAACAGAATACGAAACACGAAAGGAAGATAAAGCAGATATGTGCAAATTAGGATTCTAATATATGATAAACGCATTTTGCCTATGTCTGTCGTCCATCGAGTTGCCAATAAATAATTCTGTTGCCATATAATCTTGTATTCTGCCATTACACTCATTGTTCGGCTTATTTGTTGATCGACAGGTTCTAAATTGGTTTGTTCCTAGAGTTTCTTGTGGCTGATTCTTTCTGACCATCTGATCTTCAGCATGCGGCGAAGGTAGCTGTTGATAAAAGTCTGCTTCTATTTTTTTCATATCCTTACAGTATCTTCGCCTAATGTGTCAGTAATTCAACGGGGGAAATACTTGCTAGCCACGCCCATAGTCGGGGATTCAATTCCCTGCTGACTCACTCCTAAACCTTGCTTAACCGTAATAAACCTAGAAAAGACAGAAGGTTTTACGTGAGGCTATCAGCCCCATACATTAAAAAAAACAAGACCACTATTGCTATGGAGACTTCATAGCCTGAGCTTGAAAGCCTATGTTCAACTAGCAACGCAAGGGTATAACGTGAGAAGTCGTGACCAGTAGGGTGCAGCAGGTCGGGCGTGAGGACAAATACTCGCCGAAGACATTGGCTATGGGTTGCGCTATGTCGTGAATTGGTAGAAGTTAGAATTCATGGGCCATTGGATCGGGTCCCAGTGGCTTAATGGTATACGAGCTCGCCTTGTAACCAGAAGGTCCTGGGTTCGAACCCCGGTGTGTGCGTACTGTGAAGAGTCCTAAACTAGGACGAAACAGCTGTCCAGTACTCCCAGCTGGTTTTCCAATGGTTCTCTAACTAATGTCAGCTCATGATAAAAATCTTGTAACGTGAGATTGATCTGTACGCATGCTACGTCACCTTCGTTCCAAAAATAATAGTAATAACAAACTTAGGAAAAGCGGTAAAGGTATTCTGCCTAAGACATAACATCAAATCAACTACGAAGTTGATAACTATCCACCTTCAGCTAAAATCGACTTAAAATTCATTTCAATCTCCACAGTTGAAACTTTTATCTAAAACTTTATTGAATTCAATTTTTACATTTTCCCGTCCATTGATTGAACCGAAGTGCTCGGGTTCACATGTAATGTAATGAAAACCTTTATTGCATTTTCAAGTATTGGTTGTGTAGGGATTTTGTTTGATTGCATGGAGGATTTCATCATGAGCTGACATCAGTTAGAGAACCATTGGAAAACCTGGGAGTACTGGACAGCTGTTTCGTCCTAGTTTGGGACCCATCATCAGTACGCACCCACCGGGATTCGAACCCACGACCTTCTGGTTACAAGGCGAGCTCGTAGACCATTGAGCCACTGAGACCCGATCCAATGGTCCTTGAATTCTAACTTCTGTCAATTCACGACATAGCGCGACCATTTCGCAATGTCTTCTTAGATGAGTTACTGCCTCATCTTCAACCTTTATTGAATTGATTAACTAGTATAAACCGTTGCACAGAAGTTGGCTGTCGTGGCCCGAATGGTCTAGTGCTGCTGCTGCTGCTGGATTCAACATAGAACTTGGCACCGAAGTGCAGCAGTTCGAGTTGCCACGTTCCAAATAGCACACAAAGGTAGACAGGAAAATGAGAGAAGAGAATCAATAGAATTTAGATAAGATAAGTATAGATAAGTATAAGTATAAGAGCATATATAATATATATTTATATATATATTATATATATATGTATATATAATATATATATACATATTTAGGTAAGTATAAGTATAAGCGTGAAATGGTCTAGTGGGTAACGCTTTGGAGTTTGAAACTATGGACAGTGGGTTCAAGCCTTGGTGGGGACATCATCACTCACTGCGGAATGCAGGTACATCCTAGATGACGAGTCCCAAGTAGGAAGAAATGCGCGCTATCCTGGATTCCACTACTAGTCACCATCCGCCAATTAACTTTTTAACTCAATTTGTTTTTCTTATTCGATAGGAAGTAGTTTGTAGGTATTACTACTTTATGCATTTCTGATTTTGTTGTTATTATTGCGGTTTAACAGGTCAGCCAACATTTATTGGTTACATCGATAAGAAAAACAAAATAAATAGGTCTTACTGGGTACAGTTAACAATAGCTACCACAACCAAATGACCACGAGTCAACCAATTAAATTCCTATGGGTAAACAGTGGCATTTATACTATAAAAAGTGTATTTGCAGGGTATGTATATATATATTTATTCCTTTACATTCTCAGTGGAACAAAAGGCTTCAAGCTAGAGACTTAAAGTTTCGGTAGCAATGGTGTCTTTTTCTTGATTTTTTGATTACAGCTTAATGCCACACCGTATTTTAAGTACAAGTATGGAATTCTCAGCATGGATATCGGTAGCCCAAATTTCGCAGGCCGACCATAGATATCGGGTGTGCGTCGACAGGGGTTCGAACCCCGGACTATGTGCATGGTCGGCGAGAGTCCTAACCACTTTGCCACCGGCGCATTTTACAGGATAGGGTTGCTAGCCTCATGCCCAACCTCCCCTCTTTACCAGTCTTGCTACTGGCTTAGTGAGGTAAAGGAGTGCATCGGCCAGGGATCGAGCCCCAGACCACATGCGTGGTTGGCAAGCATTGTACTGCTGTGCCACCGACGCGGTGGATATATATATATAAACTGAATAGGGCAAATGTCTGTAATGTGCTGCAAAATCAGATCCTAGTTTTTTATAGGAGTGGTTATAGACATATACCCTTCTAATCAATTTTCTCAGATATGCCCAAAATCCTTCAGTTGAATTTGTATGAGTAACAGTTATAGGATCCAGTAATTCTGATGAATGATTGTGACTTTTTAATGAATATAACGCAATGATTTAAAGTCACATTGCTAAGCATTTCAAATGTATGCTGTCCATAATCTTCGTAACAATTTTCATCCTAACTCTAACCCTAAAATTTGTGGTAAGTTTCATCCTAACTCAAATCTCGATTGCAGATTTCACCTTATCCTTAACTGTGACCCTAAGTCGGGGTGAGACTTGCAACAAAGATAATGAAAGGCCTTCATTTTTACTGTCGAAAGACCTGATTGGTCGGTTTCAAATGA